GCAAGGAGGAGCAGGAGGAGCACTGCCAGAGCCCTACAAAATGACCTCCTGTGAATATCTCTAATCAAACAATCAGAAAGACTTCATGAGGGTGGCCTGAGGGCCCGATGTCCTCTAGTGGGCCATGTGCTCACTGCCCGGCACAGTGGAGCTCCATTGGCATTTGCCACAGAACACCGGAATTGGCAAGTAGGCCACTGGCGCCCTGTGCTTTTCACAGAGAACAGGTTGAACCTTAGCACATGTGACAGACGTGAAAGGGTCTGGAGAAGCCGTGGAGAACGTTATGCTGCCTCATGTGGCGAGAGTATGCTGGCAGTTCCTGGAGGATGAAGGAATTGATACCAGTGATTGGCCCCCACGCTCGCCTGACCTAAATCCAATAGAACACCTCTGGGACATTATGTTTCCATCCATCCAACACCTCCAGGTTGCACCTCAGAGTGTCCAGGAGCTCAGAGATGCCCTGGTCCAGATCTGGGAGGAGATACCCCAGGACGCCATCCGTCGTCTCATTAGGAGCATGCCCCCACCTTGTCAGGCATGTGGGGGCCATACAAACGACTGAATACCATTTTGAGTAGCTGCAATGAAATTTTAGCAAAATGTACGAGCCTGCCGCATCGGTTTTTTACTGTAATATTTGGGATGTCTTTGAATTCAGCCCTCTGTAGGTTGATAATTTTCATTTCCATCCAATGATGTGGCATCCTTCTGTTCCCAACACATCACCCAGTCCATATCAGTAGAAATAAATAGCATGAATTTTTTTTTACCTTTTGAGATCTGGTGTGTAGGGAAGAGGAGAAAAAAAAAAAAAAAGTTAACTGATTTTTAAATTTTATTTCAGTTTAGTATGGGAAAAAATTCAGAATGCTGACTTTTTTCTCAGAATTCTGACTTTTCCCCCCATACTAAACTGAAATAAAATTAAAAAATCAGTTAACACTTCTTTTTTTCCCCAGTGGCCCTAATCCTCTTCTGTAGATGTGTTTTCAAAGTGTTCCTTTAGTCTTTTTGAGCAGTGTACACACACACACACACGTGTCATGATATCCTTGTGGGGACCTTCCATTGACTTCCATTAATTTCCCACTAATTTATATGGCCTAACCATGACCCTTGCCCTAACCCTAACCATTACCGACACATACCTATCCCTAAACCTAACCTAAACTCAATTCACACC